ATTCCTTGGAAAGACGTCCTGTCACCGAGGAGAGGAGGGCTGCTCTGGGACCCCAGGACTCCATCCAAGTGCAAGAGAACCCAGGTGCTCTATGGGGGCCCTGGAGTCCAGGGAGGACGCACACTGTCTTTGTAATACTAATCTGAAGGAGACTCGGCTGCCCCTTCTTGCAGGAGGAAGAAATACACAAAATAACTTTCCAAACGAAGTGGAGCAGGAACACAGGAAGCAGAGAGAGGACCCAGTGTACAGAAGAGCAGCACGAGACCTCTAGGGGCGGGTAGAAGGGGACCAGTGACGCAAGGCCACCCAGCTGGTCACCTCCGCAGCCCTGAGGCTCATCCCCGGCGGAGTCCAGCTCTTCTGCTGCGATGCCCCGAGAACAGGAGTTCTTATCAGAAGTCTCCCTGGCACACGGCAAACAGGACGCTGCACCTTTTAGACAAATAATTCATTAGGTAATTAAATTCAAGTGAGATTAGTCTAATTAAATATACACTGCTGTTGAACCATAATTTCTATTGGCCTAGTTAAAATGAGCAATTTCTTATTCCTGATCAAAGAGACTAGACAGAGAGAGAGAGAGAGAGAGAGAGAGAGAGAGAGAGAGAGAGAGAGAGAAAGGGCTTTAGAAGAATCCCCCCGTGGCTTTAGGAAGAGATTTAAATGCTCTCCGCAGAGGTCCTAGCAAGAAAGAGAAGCCGCACGTGGGGCGGGGCTGTGTCTCCCCTGTCAGAGGAAGTTGGTGCTGCTGTCCTGTTTGGATCCCACAGAGCAGGAAGCCACTCGGGGATCGGGGCTGCAGCAAGAGGTCGGGCAGGACTTCCCCTGGCCGCTGGCCTACAGGCCACCAGGGCAAGGCCACCACAGAGCAGCAGCAGCACCAGCGACCCAGCACTTGGGGACTGGAAAAGCCAGCCCTGCATGCCGCCGCCTCCCCTCCGACGCTGGGGAGCAGCTGCGTCTCTGTGCTCCCTCTCGGCCAGTGCTTTGATCCGCGACTCTGGCGGTGGAGAGCTGACAGTCCCTGCGTGGCAGCCCGGCTTTCATTTGTCAGACACGCGTTAGCTGGTGTAGAGAGCAGGCGGCGACACCTGTACTGCAAGAATTTACATCGCCCTGCTCCGGGATGGCATTGATTTGGGACGGGTGAAACACAAACACAAACTAATTAAAAACTGCATAATGGAGCCCTCAAGGAACACCGCAGAAACAAATAAATACACGCGCAGCTGGCACGGCGATTGTGCCTCTGCCCCCGAGCAACCGTCTGGTGACATCAAATTATAAGCCCTGAAAACGCTCGTGCCGTCGCCGGTGATCCTGTCGGAGGCATAATGGGGATGATCTGGTTAATTAAGGGGAGATTTATAAAATATTTACGTGTGTGCACACGCATGTAATTCGCTTCCTCCAACACTCGGGATGGCGACTTCGTGGTCCTCCAGGCTGAGCTCTGCAGCGGTTGGCAGGGATGCAGACCGCCTTGGAGGCTGCAGGATTGGACTCGCCGGTCCCGGTGAGCAGGGCAGCACCATGCTGTCCACGCGGGCACAGGCTCGGTGAGCAGCCTGGGGCCTTGCGTACCTCCGACCCTAGGCCCTGGGCGTGCCCCCCTGGGGCCTTCCACATTCACCCACCGAGACTCCAACTCCGGTCACCAACACAAGTGGAAGGGCTACAGTCGGGTGGCGCAGGCCTAGCAGCTGCCCAGAAAACCCCTCACACCAGGACTGCAGCGCGCACTCCCTGGAGGTCTCCTTGGACACACCCCCAACCACCTGAGAGTCATTCACCTCCTGGTTCCAAGCGGGTGACATCCCAGCCTCTGCTGGAGAAAGCTGCAGAGTCCCAAGTAGTGTTAACCAGACTCATCAATCAGCGTGCAGCTGGGGCAGAGGCTGGGCCAGGGCCCAACCCCCACCCTCCATACCCCCAGCTCCCATCCCCGGCCCCTATCCGGGGCACCCACGGAGCAGAGAATGACACTGTGAAAGGGTGGCAGCCAGGGCCACAGCTCCACCGCCCCAGGTCCCAGCCTCCTCTCCTGCAGCGGAGTCCCTGGGAAGCAGAGCTGCAGATCCCTGGAGAATTACTCCGGTGCAGAGGAAACCGGAACGAGGATGCCTCTGAGTTCGCCACACTCCAGCCTGCCTTGCAGAGGCCCCTGCAGCTGGGAGCACTCACCAGCCTGGGGGTGGTCAGCAGAAAAGCAGCACGGACCATCCAGCCTTCACAGGACCGCAGCTCCCTCTCTTTAGACATCACCTCTGTGGGGCCTGGAAACTTTGCATGCAGGCTTAAATTCAACTTGAAAACCGTCCCTTTCCCAGGAGCTGTTTCCCCAAGCCCACATGCCCCAAGGGTCTCCCTCAGGCTCTGCCAACACACTGCACCCGGGGCATGGGCGGGGTCCCCGGGCCCTCCTTGCTGGGCTTCAAGCTGCTATTCAAGGACATCACTGGGTGGAGCTCACACCCTCGAGCACCGACCGCTAGGCCCAGCTCTGTGGCTGGGTTTGCCCTGGGCGTCCCTGGGGACCCGAGTGCCTACCTTCCTTGTCCCTCAACTCTTGGCCTCCAGAGGCCAGGCAAGCAGGTGAGTTCTCCCCTGGGTCTCCTTGGGGAACATTCTGGACCCTCTTAAAAGGATATTCAAGCCAAGCCCAAGGCTTAGGGGAGCCTTATCCCCTTAGCACAACAGGAACCTCAGGCTCTGGGCCCACCTTAATACCCATGCTTAGTGCTAGGGGCAGGGGCTGCTGGGAAACTTCCGGGAGGCAAAGCCCCACCTGTGGTCCCGCTGCTGCCTTCCCCACCCCTCCAGCGGTGGAGGGATCTGGAGGCAGTCCCCTCACTTGCTCCCTCTCCCTTCAGTATTTCAGGCTGGAGGGATGGGGGTGGAGGTGTAAAGCCTCAGCTCTGCAAGCCCTTGGGCTCCTGGGGACCAGCCAGCAGCCTCACTCCTGCCAGTTCCTTGGGAGCCCAAGTAGTGCCCAGATGCAGCTCACAGGGAACCTCAAACCCAAGCTGCGCTGACTTCCAGAGTCCCATGCCCCTCCAATGATGGGGATACACCCAGACACTGGAGAGTAAGGACAAAGCCCTCTGCCCTTGTCCAGGTCCCAGAGGTCTTACATGTCCAGCCAGCATCAGGATGGAAGGGCCCAGCTCTGCAGGTGGCATGGGCAGCTGTGGAGAGGGGGCAGGAGGAGGTAATCACCCTGTGCAGCTCTATCTGACACCCATGTTTCTGGACCACACGGCCCACCTGTCCTGCAGGGGCTGTTCTGCAGGGCTTATCTGGCCTGTATTTACTTGTCACCAGGAATACAACACAGGTGTTTGCTTAGCAGGACAGGACACTGAGACAGTCCGGTTTCACCCAGCACTGGGTTGTGCTGCGGTGCCGGGGACAGCGAGCAGGTTGGAGCTCAGGAGAAAACAACAGTCAGAAACACCCCAGAGCTGGTGCAGGCCCAGGGCCCACTCCTGGCTACCCTGAATCCGTGTCCAAGCAGGCAGAGGGACTGCAGCTGGCAGGTGTGGGTCCAGCCTGGCAGTGACAAGGGAGCGGGGTGAGAACAGGAAGAAGACCTGACTCAGGGCAGAGAAACGAAGCTGGTAATTTCGGAGCTGGTAATTAGTAATTACTATTATGGGCCCCATTGTTGCTAATTATAGGCAATGGTACTGTCTGTCCTCAGGCCGGGACACCAAGACTTCCTGATACTTCCAGAGTCCCTAGGCCTGGAGGATCCTCACAGCTGCAGGGGCAGGCGGGAGGGGGTCTAGCGGGTGTCTAGGGTCCTTGGGCTGAGGTCACCAGCAATAAGGCATGACCGACTGAAGACTCAGGACCACGCTTCACTCCGATGCCCCCAACCAAAGTGGCCTTGGTCAGAGCCCACGTAGCAGGGCATTGTGAGGCAAGGCTGCCAGGGCTGGAGTGCGGGGAGGGGAGTATCCTCCGGTGGGCTCAAAGTGGTCTCCAGAGGGCCACCTGGAGTGACTCGGGTCCCTCGAAGCTCCAGGCGGCCTGCGGAGTCTTGTCCTGCAACGTCAGGCCCATAGAGAGGCCACTGTACTGGCATCCGAGCCAGAGAAGCTCGGTCAGCTCCCGGCCACTTAGAGTGCCTGCAGAGCCGCAGTCAGCTTTCTCCTCAGGCTGGGGGTGGGGCCCAGAGGCCGAGGGAAGAGGGGCCGCCCAGCGCCCGGGGTACACCGGCACCCTCCACGAGTTCACTCCCTGGCGCTGCACACCTAGGTTCCAGCAAGCGCCCCCGGCCAGTCTGGCTTCTGGGTCTCAGGAGCTGGCTTGGGAGGGGACAGTTCCAAAGGGCCGCCCCCCCACCTCCTCTCTGCCCAAGAACGCACCGCAGCGATTGTCACCGACTCCCCCGCGCAATGACTTCTCCGAGTTCTCACGAATGGAAAAGTCCTCGGACCCCGCCACTTTCCGTGTCTCCAACGCGGCGGACGGCCGAGGCCTGGAAAACCGCGATGCCCGGCGGGAGCACGCGCCGCGCTCTGAGATGTCGCCAGCCGGTCGGTGCGTCCGCGGGAAGGGGGCAGGGGCTGCGCTCCCGCCGAGGGCGTCCCCGGAGGCCCAGCGGCGCTTGTCCAAGGAGAGGCTCGGTCCCCTGGCAGCCACCCCGCTCGGTCTCGGGGCTCGGCCCGGTCGTCCCAGCGGTGGAAAAGCGGCTGTGTAGTCGTTGAGATGCAGAGGGGGACACCCTGGCGCCCACAGGTTGTCAGACGGCGCGGGCGCCGGAGGGGAGGCAGCGGCCCGCGGCCTGGGGACCGCGCCCCGCCCGCCGGGCGCACCGCGGAAGAGGTGGCGGGGCGCGGGCACCACGTGCTCGCCGGGAGGGGCGGGAGCGGGCGCGAGGGCGGAGGGCGGAGGGCGGGCGCGGGCGCGGGCGGGGCGGGGCCTGCGCGCGAGGCGATGCCAATCAAAGCATCAACTTCAAATTGTGCCTGAGCGCCCGCCGCCGAGCGGAGGCGGCCGCCGCAGTCGGCGCGCAATCGCGGAGCCAGGCGCAGCCGGGAGCCGGGCGCCTGCGAGCACCGGGCCCGGAGCAGCGACGGCCCCGCCCGGCCGGCCTGAGCGCCTCCCGCCCTCGAAGGCTCGCGGGCCCCGGCGCCCCGGAGCCCGCGGACATGTCCTTCCCGCAGCTGGGCTACCCGCAGTACCTAAGCGCCCCGGGAACGGGCGCCTATGGCGGCGAGCGCCCGGGGGTCCTGGCCGCCGCCGCCGCCGCCGCAGCCTCGTCGGGCCGGCCTGGGGCGGCGGAGCTGGGCGCGGGCGCGGCCGCGGTCACCTCGGTGCTGGGCATGTACGCGGCGGCCGGGCCGTACGCCGGCGCGCCCAACTACAGCGCCTTCCTGCCCTACGCCGCCGACCTCAGCCTCTTCTCGCAGATGGTGAGTGTGCGACTCCAGGCCCCGCCGGCCTTCCGGTCCCACCTGGCCCCGCCAAGGTGCGGGTGCGGGGCGCACGGGAAGGACTGGCCACGGTGGGTCCTGCTCGCGGGCCGGGGTGGGGGACGCCAGGCCGCCCCCAGGGATCGGGGAGCGGAGAAGCCCGGCCGAGCCATCGCCCCGGGGGTGGGAAAGGGTCCCACGAAGTCCGGAGGGACAGAGGGGCCAGGAGCAGGTCCGGGGCGCGCGGCGCTCGGCCGATTTCCCGGCGCGGCCTGGGCGCCTGGGAGGCCCGCGGGGCGCCAGCAGCCCGGCCTGGTTCGCAGGGCTCCCCTCACCGGCCTCGGGCCTGGATCACCGGGCCTTGCTAGCTCTGATCCGGGCGCAGAAGACTGGATTCTCTCTGTGTTTGGCAGAGCCCAGATAGTTTTCTCTGCAGGGCGTTTGCCCGAGCGATCCCTGGACGCCCAGGAGAGTCCGTCAAAATAATCCTAACAATAGCGATCGGGTGGATCGGAGAGGTCCCTTTAAGGCGAGAGTGCGAATCCGGGATTAAAAAATACAGAGTTGAAGGAAACACTGGCGTCCGAGATGGTGTTTGCTTCTACTTACCCAAGTTCCCTAAGTTTTCATTTCGTTTGCACCGAAAGAAAAGCACTTTTCTCTCCGCGTTATAATGGAGGGTTGAAGAAAACAGTGCCCCTGCGCCTAAAATAAATGGGGTTCCTTTCTGTCCCAGGAGGTGCCCGGTGGGGGGGGGGGCGCATCTCTTCCTCGGGGGCTATGGCCGGCTTGGCCAGTGGATCCTTCCCGCTTTACGTGGTTCCAAGATCGCAGCTGCTTAAACTTCGGGCTGTGGTGGAGGAGAGAGCCCCCTCCTGCGTGGCTGCAGGCTGGATAGCGACTTCCAGGCACCCGGAATTGTTCTCAACCCCTGACGCAGAGCCCGGGACTAAATACCCGGCGACTGTGTAGAGCGAAGCCGCGGGTGTGTTTTCCTGCAACTTTTCTTGTAGTTTTGAAAGGAAGCTGATTTCTTTGCGGTCGGCGCGGTCGCCTTGCAGATCCACGCCAGCTCTCCAGAAAGAGCAGCCCCATTTTGTTCCGGTGGCCGGGTACCCCGAAAGCCAGGACAGCTTTACTGGAGCTTTACTGGGTGTCCTTTGTAAAACAATTCCCAGCAGAGGCGAGGCCTCTGTCTTCTTTACAATGACAACCAAAACCATTGGAAAGGCACAAATTTCATTCTGCAGAGACCTGGTAGAAACGAATTCTGGCCACAGGGTTCCTGGGCAGCCTCCATCTCCACACCTCAGTAATCAGTCAAAGAAATCTATGCTTTACAAGTTTGTCAGAGTCGGGGGTTCCCCTGTGCGAGCACAGCAAGGGGAAGATTTCACTTTGGAGGATTTTTTTTAGCCAAAATTTTAAATGCAGATGCAGCCATTTGGGAACCGTGTGTGCTGGCTGGGGAGAGAGGGGGTTACATGGGGGAGACTCTGCTCCTTTTGTGTCCAAGTGGGAGAGGGCTATGCTCGATTTCTTTTACCAAGGGAAAATTGTAAAAACGTTCTTCAAGGTGTCTGTATTATCTGCAGGTCTGGGCAGGAGGTCTTGGAAAGTGAGCTTAAATCCAAGCCCTGATTCTAGGCCTCGTTTCCAAGATAGTGGGAAAGGGTGTCTGAAAAGTCCAAAGATAAAACTGTGAGAGAGCCACCAGCAGAGCAGTTTGTGGTGATAATGAGGCCTAATGAGGTTGTTAGAAAGATAAAATGTTATTTACCAAAAACCTGATGGGATAATTTGACTTGCTGTGTTTTACTACTGATGATAAAAAGAATATTGATTGCAGATAAAATCGCTGCCTCTAAATGCCTGCAAACAGTTTGTGTTTGCTGCTCCAGATCAAAGTCAAACTTGAGGGATAAAGTAACCGAGAAAGAGAAGGCCCAGGAAGGCGAGCAGGTTTCTCTTCCCGCTGCTGCAGGCCAGCTTCTGGCCCTGGAGTTAATATTTTACAGGATAAGCTCTCCTTTTGTATTTTTTAAATGGTGTTTTTGTTATTGTTGTGATGACCGGGATTAAAATTTTAAATTACCTGTCACCCCGGCAGGCCTCTTCGGTGTGGGCAACCCTGCCCTGCAGATTACTCTACGAGGTGAAAGGAGTGCGGTTTCGTTTTAAATTGCTGGCGGCTTTAGAGTTGGGAAGAAACACAGGGAGGTTTATTTTGATTGACCCCTTCAGGGCAGAAGGGGGCCTTGAGATCTGGGGCCTTTGAGTTTGGAGAAACTGTTTCATCAGCCTCGTTAAGAGGTTTTCTCTTCTAGCTAGCTAAGATAAACTTGGAAATGGAGAGCTGCTGCGCTGGAGACCTGGGGGCTTAGGGAAATTCCAAGGGGCCAGACCCCTGCCGAGCTTTTCTGGAAATGCTTGATTTCTAGGGGAAAAAAAGGATCCCATCGGTGTTGGGGTGGGGAGGGCCAGGACAGCAGTGCAGTGGCTGGCTCTCTGGTACTTTGGCAGTGTGTGTGTGGGGGGTGTCTTCTTGTGCTGGGGAATGTGACAGAGTCCCCACAAACACCCCGGAAGTCCAGTGGACGTGGTGCTGGGAAGGCCCCGGAGTCAGTGGGGACTGCTGCCAGGCACTTTCCTAGAACTGGGGACTCATCTCTTACTCCCTGTCTCTCTCATCTCCTTTCCTCTTCTCTCCTCTCCTTCCTCCTCCATCCCTTGCTTCTGCCACGGCTGCAGGGATCACAATATGAACTCAAGGACAACCCTGGGGTGCACCCTGCCACCTTCGCGGCCCACACCGCACCGGCCTATTACCCTTATGGCCAGTTTCAGTATGGGGATCCCGGGAGGCCCAAGAACGCCACCCGCGAGAGCACCAGCACGCTGAAGGCCTGGCTGAATGAGCACCGCAAGAACCCCTACCCCACCAAGGGCGAGAAGATCATGCTGGCCATCATCACCAAGATGACCCTCACGCAGGTCTCCACCTGGTTCGCGAATGCGCGCCGGCGCCTCAAGAAGGAAAACAAGGTGACCTGGGGGGCTCGCAGCAAGGATCAGGAGGATGGCGCCCTCTTCGGCAGCGACACTGAGGGCGACCCTGAGAAGGCCGAGGACGACGAGGAGATTGACCTGGAGAGTATCGACATCGACAAGATCGACGAGCACGATGGTGACCAGAGCAATGAGGACGAGGAGGACAAGGCGGAGGGGCCGCGCGCACCCGCCGCCCCCAGCGCCTTGGCCCGGGAACAGGGCTCACCGCTGGCGGCGGCTGACGTGCTCAAGCCCCAGGACTCGCCTCTGGGCCTGGCCAAGGAGGTCCCTGAGCCTGGCAGCACGCGCCTGCTGAGCCCCGGGGCCTCGGTCGTCAGCCTGCAAGGCGCACAGCACAGCAAGCCCAAGATCTGGTCGCTGGCGGAGACTGCTACGAGCCCCGACGGCGCGCCCAAGGCGTCCCCACCGCCTCCCGCAGGCCACCCAGTGGCGCACGGGCCACCCACGGGCGCGCCGTTGCAGCACCCGGCCTTCCTGCCCAGCCACGGACTGTACACCTGCCACATCGGCAAGTTCTCCAACTGGACCAACGGCGCGTTCCTGGCGCAGGGCTCGCTGCTCAACATGCGCTCCTTCCTGGGCGTCGGCGCGACCCACGCCGCGCCCCACGGGCCGCACCTGCCGGCGGCCCCGCCACCGCAGCCGCCCGTCGCCGTCACCACCACCGGCCCGCTCCAAGTGGACAAGGCCTCGGCCCGTGCCAGCCCTGCGCTCCCAGGTACCCAGGCTGGGAGGGCAGACACTCAGCGGGGCGTCTTAGTCGGGACTGAGACCTAGGCCTTGCACCCCAGAGGAAGGGGAGGGAGTCTGTGGCGAAAGGCGGGGCGAGCGGGTGGGGAGTGGGGGGCGGTCAACGGCGCCCCTCCCCCAGTGCCTCCTTGCCTAACCTCTGCCTCTCCCTCCCCCCAGAGAGAGACCTCGTCCCCAGGCCCGATTCCCCTGCGCAGCAGCTGAAGTCGCCCTTCCAGCCGGTCCGAGACAAGTGAGTGCCATTTGCTTGGCCCAGGGGCGGGAGGAACGGGGCGGGGGGCGGCGGGCGGTGTGGTGTGGCCCTCACTGCGCGGCGTGGCGTGGCGTGGCGTGGCGTGGCGTGGCCGGCTTCTCCGGAGCGGGAGCCCGCGGGCCGCGACCCCGCCCCGCGCTGCGTGCGCCGCGCTGACGCCGTCGCCGTCCCCGTCCCCGTCTTGCTGTTTCCCCGCAGCTCGCTGGCCCCGCAGGAGGGGACGCCGCGGATCCTGGCAGCGCTCCCGTCCGCCTGATCGAGGCCTCCTTCCACGGCGGCGGGGGAAGGGGGGAGGCTTGGGGGGGCGGGGGCCGGGAGGAATCGAGGCAGATGTTTCAGACTGGTGTAAAGGACAAATACGACGACGAGGACCGCGTCACCGACTCTCACGCGTCGCTTCCGCGGCAGGGGGCTCGTCCGAGCCTGCGGCCCCAGGCTGCGCCCTGCGGCTGGTGGCTGCCGCGTGCTCGGCGCCGGTCCGGCCGGGTCAAGGGCACGCGCTGTCTTCTTCGCTTTCCTTTCTGTATATAGAGTGATTCAGACTGTAAATAGCGCGGCAGCGAACTTGTCTAAATCATATATTTTTGTCTAATAAACGAAATGAAACGATGCCCGGCGTCCCCGCTGCTGTGTGAGCGCGTGCGCGCGCTGAGGGTGGGGCCCCGCGTGCCCGGAATCCTCGCGGGGACCCAGCCGTGGTCTCTAGTTGTCGCAGCGGCGGTGGCCGAGTTGGTTAATATTGTCCCTAGGGCAGTTTCTCTCTGGCAGTTGAATGCTTTCCAAGGTTTAGAGGAGCATTTATCTGGGGCGTGGCTTTCTCAGGACAAAAATGAGTTCAGTTTTAGTCGGAGCACAGAAAGAGTTTTTAAAAGTGGACTAAAATGGGAGAGAAATGAAAAGAATTTGCAGCCGCACCCCCAGAGGAGAACTGCAGAGTCCAATCGATTTGTAACTGGTTGTCTGAAGGTTGTGTCTTGGCCCAGGGTCTCTTGTGCCGTGTGGGAATAATGGATACGAAATAGTGCTTTGGGTTTTCTTAGTTACTGGTTAAGTGTAATCCAGAGAGATTTGCGGGCTGTGTCCTAGTCCCCGTCGGTGGGCGAAGGTGCGGTCCCAGGTCCTTTGGGGCATGAGGAGGCGGCGCTGCGGTGGGGGGCGAGGTAGAGCCGGGCTTTGGCCTGCGGATGTCGCACCTTTTCTCTCCCCGGGTCGCGCCGCCCCAGGCGGAGGGAGGCGCGGGCGGGGCAGCGGGCGCGGATGGACGCGGGGCTGAGCGCTGGGAGGAGCGGGGCGCGCGTCTCAGGCTGTGGAGTGGGCGCGGGGCCTGGGTGCGGAAGACTGCGGAGCTCTGGGAACACCAGCAGTGTCAAAACTGCCGAGGAGAACGTGGCCGCGGGAGCCCGGGTCGGGGGATCCGACCTTCCCTGAACGCCCCATTCCGAGACTGTGCTCGGGTCCAGGCGCGCGTCCCGCGGTTCCTTTGGGGTGCTCAGCTCGCCCTAAGCACGGAACCCCGGCCTCGTCCTCGCTCGCGGATCCCGTCCCCCGGACCCCTGGACTACAGGAAGGCAGTGCGCGGCGGGGCGCATGTGGATGCCTCTCGCCGGAGCTCTCGGGGCGCGGAGTAGGCGGGTGGGATGGAGCCAGAAGCAGCCCGGCCGTGGGGCGCGGGGATGGACCGGGCTGGGGCTGCGAAGCCTGCCCGCAGCTTCGCTGTAGGAATGGACGTGGTCGAAGCGCCCTCTATGGTCGGAAGGAGGAATGGGGCCTTGACCCAGCGGCTGTGGCTTTGGGGGCATTGCGCAAATCTGGGGGTTCTGGGCTTTGGGACTCCTAAGTATGAATCAGGGTTTGTGCTAAGGGGTTTGCTCTGTGACCCAGGGATCTGTCCTTGTGTGTATGTTTTGGGGGGTTTCCAAGCTTGCTGGGAAAGAGTGGCCAGGCTCCCGAGGTGCTGCTTGCTGTCAGAGAGATCCCCTGACTATCCCTAAAGTACCGGGCTCCTAGGGCCTCATAACCTCGGTCTCCTCCGCCAGAGGTCCTGGGTTGGGGCTCCACCTGACAGCTGGTTTCTTTAAAAAATCCATGGCCAGGCGAGTCCTGCACCTCTGTGGAGGTGCAATACCCCGCTCAGCTGGTCAGGCATGCAGGATGTGCTGGGACAACCCTCCTGGCTGAGCCCTAGAAGCAGCGACGGGACTCTTAGGGACTGATACCTGCAACTGGCCAGCCTCCACTGTGTTCCCCTGAATCAATCAGGGTGGGCTGTGCCGGCTGCACACCCCACTGCCTTTCTTCTCTGTTTCAGTTTTGTGTGCAGATCTCTTGATGGCCCAAGGACCTCTGCCCAGGTGACTGGGCCCAGCCCACAGGACCTGGGGGTCTCCATGTTCGGAAGACCTATCAGGCCACCTCGGGATCCAGCTTTCTGTGCATGGAAATCAGAAGTCCAGTCTTAGAATTATTTTTCTCCATCAAAAAGCTAGAAATTAATTTTTGATCAGGCCTTAAAATGCATTTTGTCTTTTGTGAGCCATTTCTTACATCTTTCTCAGCTGCTGATGAGGAGCTTGTGATGGGGAAAGAAATCATCCCGTGGGTCCCGGGATTTCAGCTTCTGAAAAGTCTGTGGTGCGTGGGGGAAGCACAGAGCCCACTTCGCTGCCACCTCTGACGCCTTGCAATTCCTCCCGGTTTCTACTTGTGCAGAGAGTACGCACCCCACCCCCACTCAGGATGCTGCAGGGTAAAGGGGGCCGAGGCTCCCCCTGAAGAGCCCGCATGTGTTCTGTGCAGAGGCTTTCTTCTCCTGGTGAGCCTTCATTGCAGGTGCATTTATGGTGGGAAGCCAGGAAGCAGATGCAGTCCCAGGGGCTCTTGTGCTGTAGCCCAGGCCTGCAAGGTGATGAGAGGGCCTGTCCAGCACTGCTGGCCAGCCACTGAGGCACCTCCACCCACGAGCCCTCCCCACAGTTGACCTGTGGAGCGGCTGCAGTCTCTCCGCTCTCACATCCTGCCCTCCCTCCTCCGATCAATTATTTTTGCCCACACATTTATCTCGCCTGCAATATGGAGAATTCATATTCATATCTCGGGTTTAGTGGTCTGACACTGATGAATGTAATCCGCGCCTTGGCTCGGAGGGGCGGCCACCGATGAATCATGCCCTGTGAAGTTTCCCTCGTCCTTGTGTGTGGGACTCTGGAGGAGAGCGAGGCAGCTGGGGGTGGGGGCACGGTGGCTGTGAGGAGAAGGACAAGAGGACAGGGCAGCAGGTACCTCAGCGTGGCAGCTGCCCAGCCGTGGGAGGAGGGGTGGGCAGGAGCCTGGCCCTTTGCTGGTGCCACTGAGAATCTCTGTGTCCTCAGTCATTGGCCCTCCTTCCCTTCCTGAGGTGCAATCACACCGGGGGTGGAGGCTGCTCGTGGTGAAGAAAGGGGGGGCCAAGCCCAAGGAGGGTCATTTTGTTGGGCTTGGGACACAAGCCAGTGGCTCTCCTCGGAGCTGTGAGGGCACATGGGCTAGAGCTGTGCCAAGATAGACTAACCTCTGTGGTTTTCCGGCCACTTCCAGAATGGAGCACTAGGGCAGGAGACAGTGAGGCTCTGGGCCTCTCTGGTAAAGAAAGGAGCAGGCTAGGGGGGACCTGTGCACCTGGTGGCCAGGTCCTGTCTAGGGATGAGGCTCCCGTGGAGGCAGGGAGACCAGCTTCAAGGCTTCCACTGCCCCCCTCAACCCAGAAATTTCCTGGGCTAAGGATGCTCACCCCAGGGCATCAGCTCAGCAGCAGCCTTTAAGTAGAAGCCCCGCAGCCTCAGGCCTGCTCAGCGGTGGACTTTGCAGGCCTCCTGCGCATCCCGCGGAGTCTTCCTGCACTCTAATTACGGCTGTGCAGCTGAAAGACCTCAAAGGTCACTCTGCAGGGCTGCTGGGGCCTTTTGTACCCTGTGGACAGGCTCAGGACCCCTTCTCGCCGGAAGAGGATTTGGAAAGTAGAGGGGCCATCTGCCCGGCAAGGCTGGGCCTGGAGGTGGGTGCAGCCAGCACAGAGCAGGCACCCTGCTTGCAGGGGCCTTCGGAAGTGTTCAGATTTGTTCCCAATGTGGAAAAGATCACTTTTAGGTTGTAGAGAAGGAACTCATAGAGAAGTACCCGTATGTGTGTCTCTGTACCAGAGCGGACAGCAGATAGGTTTTGAATCATTTGCTTTCTATGGAGAAGGGACTCCTGAAGGCCAGGTGCCCAAACCCCAAGCGTCACCACCAGGACGGCTCGGAGGGAGCTGCTTGCAGGGCTTAAAATCCCTGTGAACGGGACATGGAGAGAAGGGGAGGTACTCTAAATCCCGGAGCAGAATGACTTCCTCAGTGTCCCTGAGACACGGAGCCCTGGCCTGGGGAAGGACTTCAGTTCCGGCTGGAAGGCAATCCGAAGGGTGCTCTGAGCCTGTCAAGGCCAGTGTTCCAGGCCCCCACATCGCAGCCGAGGGCTGACCTGAAGGAAAGGAAGGAGAGGAACCCTAGGGCCTCAGAAGGCAGCCCTGGACTCCAGACCTCGGCCAGCTCTCCAGATCCAGGAAGTGGCAAGGCCCTGAGGTCCAGCGTCTCTATCCTCTGGTTCATCCAGCGTCCCGAGCACCTGGTAGGTGGGGGCACAGTCACCTGGCTGTACCAGGGTCCAGGGAAAACAGGAGACACCTGTGGCCGCCTGCTGGGGAGCCGGAGACACATCGAATGAGGTTCCAGCCTTCACGGGAAGGAAGAGCTTTGTTGGTAATTGCGTTCCCTGAAAGTTCCCATTCTGCTGTGCCCGCTGGAGGACCGGGAAGCAGCTCACTTTCAGAGCTGTGTGTTTGTGACCTGTAAACCCAGGGCTCTGGGGGAGAAGGTCGCCAGGTGGCCGAGGGCCAGTGACCACAAGCGGACCCTCCCACCTGCCCCGTCACCCTCAGGCTTGTGTCTTTGCTCTGTTCCCTCCCTTTCCCTGTTTGTTGCTTCTGTAGCTTTTTGCTTGTTATTGAAATTTAAACGTATGCTTAATTGCTGGCTCCGTGGACCGCTGCAGCAGTGTCTGAAAATATTAAATACATCTGTGCGACGGTGGGCGGGAGAAACTAAAAAGGTGCTCGCTGCGCTGAATGTTAAAAAGATCCCACAATGAAGTGATTACCATTTTTATGAATAAAATTAATCACACATTAACTCTGTGGCACAGGACGTCTGCAAGCCAAATGTGGCCCGGCAGTCCCCTTGCTCCCTCCGGAGCTCTGGAGGCCTCTGAGGCCCACAGTGAGGCCAGCACTCGGCCATCAGGGGTTTCAGTGCGTTTACGCTGGGCAATAACAGAGCTCTAAATCGGAGGCACCAGAAAGAGAAACATCAGCATCACCAACAGGGATACACACACCTACAGGTGTGCACATGCACATTCCCCCACACGTACATAATGCACACACACTCATACATACACATACATGCACACTCACAGACACAGGGCGGTTTTTAAAAAGCACCCTTTCGCCCTTCTAGGACCTCTCAGCCGACAAGTCATCTTTACTCTCAGATCTGCTCATGAGGTTGTGTGAGTCTGGGACCAGGAGGGCCAGAGAG